AAAGTGAAATCGATCAGGCCATTCATAATACCGATACATCGAATAATACCGCTGAAAATTTGAAAAAGGAAATTGCACTAATTGAAAACGCTATAGCCGAAAAAAAGAGACAGGTAAGGACTACGTTAAAAAAGTTCTCTTAAACTGCTTACACAACATACTGGATTGATTGTTCACTTCCTGAACAATTTGTTATTAAACATCTAAATAATATTTAATGCTGTTTCGTTGGCGTACGCATCATTGAAGGATGTGAGAAATACTCATTTCATCGATACGTTTGTGACACACAGAAGGAAAGCTCAGGAACCAATAAAGTAAATATATTCTTGATCAGCAGCAGATTCTAAACCGATTTAAGAATATTCGTCCGTCTGTCTATGTAATGTCCTGTGGTAAACAGTCCCCCAGGTGACAGAAACGAAGCTATCGGCTTCAAATTCGATAGCAACATTGGCAATTCTTTGAATTGAAAATGGAGTGAATCGGCCTAAAGGCCACGACTGCAGTAAAGCTTAACTACTAACTTTATTTTCTGATCGTTATTTATAAACTGCAAGAGATGGAATGATAAAAATTTACCCATATATTCTCTGGGTTGCTCCTACAACATCTGTACAAAATTATAAGCGATTTTTTTCACCTTTTTAAGGATTTCTGCTTATTACTCATAAGATGGCAGAAAATGATTTTGTACATTCTTTACGTGAAATTACATTATCTCTCTCTGTCTAAAAATGTGTCAATTCTAAATTAAATATTGTGAACCCACCAAACTGAAGATTTCGTTTCTTCTCAGGTGTATAATCGACTAAGTATCAAATAAACAGACTTGGAGGGTAGAATACGCCAAACGAAATGTGTTAACCATGAATTAAATATCGCGGATGCTGCGACGGTGTACGATGGGTAACGGCGGCGGCTATAAGGGATTCGGAAACGGCCGAATATAATTTTCTTACTTCTTTCAATAATAGTGAAATGTAGCAACAATCAAGTACTTTTGAATGTTTTGGATTTCACATATTAAAACTTCTGCATATTGAAACGAATTTTTCAATATAATGCTCATAATTTAATAATTTTGTTTGTTAATAAACTTCTACGTTGCAAGCAAATCTTAAAAAAAAAAATTTATTTATTAATTATTTAACCATTCTGCACATTTTTTAAAATTCTTTAATTTTTTTTCCCATAGTAAAAAAAAATTATATATTAATTCCAATAAGGATTATTTTATTTTATAATTGTATTATTATTTATTGTATAATTGTATTAATCATTACTAATAATTATTATAACTAAAATTGTATGATACCTTTTAGGTGGAACAACTGGTTAACGAAATGAAGGAGGTAAATTTGCAAAGTTTAACTGTCACTCCTTCAGAGGAAATCAAACATTTCTTGGAAGGTAAAATATTACGTAAAATGGATTAAAATGGAATTTTACCAGAATTTTGTTTAAATTCAGGCTCTAATAAACCGGGCAGCAGTCGTCGAATTATTGGTTCGCCGCGACAGTTGGAAAATGCAGTACCAACCAGTAAAAATCCTCACGGTGTGTGGGTATAATTTACATTTAAGTACTTTGATACTCTTTCATACAAAATGATATAGTATACGTGATTGAATACTTTTGAAACTCGAACGAACTTATATGATGGGAACAAGCATTGAAAAAAAAAAAAAATATATAGAAGCAGTTATAAAATTAACTTACACACATATCGCTGATAATAATAAAAAAATTTTAGTAATCAAGTGAATGTTATTAAAGAGGCAATATTTTAATTTCTAAATATTAATAAAGACATATTTACTCTTCTCAAACAACAAGAATCTACAATGTATTATAAGACACATTCTACACATTTAAAAGATTAATTCTCGAGCATTCCATTTTTTTAAATTTTTAAAATGTTAATAAAGTGCAAATTTTTTTTCATTTTTAGAGGAAACGTTTTATTGACTTAAATTGTAAATTAAAGCTAATTTTTTTTTAATAGTTTAAGAGGATGTAACCTTTAAAAACAATAAAAAGTAAAGATTTTACGCACATGTATAAAAATTATAATTAAAGAGTTTTTATTATAAAAAAAAATGTTTTCTACGCGAAGTCATTGGCAGATATTTGAATTGGAATCAGAAAAGTCCCCTTTCGTGTCCGAGCATAAAAACTTGTGCTTGGGTAAAGCAGGTAAATAAAACGTTTGAAAAAATTCTTGTTCGGAATCTTAATTCCTAGCTAGATTAGTTTGAAGTTTTTTTTTGCTAATTTGTACCCATAATTCATCGAGATAATCGTCCGGAGGTGAAATTGATTAAACCCAATACATCGACATCTATTTTATTTATAATTTCTTTAATATTAAATATCGTTGACATGAATCACCTTTACAAAATTAACTTTGGAGCGCATAACATGAAATTTGCGCATATTTTCTAATTGCTCTTTGCTCATATCCTGACCATGTTTTCGCTTAATATGCACCTTTAGTCTGTAAAAAACAATATTAAATATGAAGTACGTTTATTTTTTAAAATTGACTAAGAAACTACTACCAACTTTGCTTTAGCCGGATATCCTTGCTGGCAAAATTCACATTCAAAGGGCATCATATTGTGATGCGTGTACTCATGATTTCGTAAAGAGTTAGACGACGTGAAATATTTTCCACAATCAGGGTAGTCGCAGCTAAACCGCACGCTATCATGTTTAATTTTTTTGTGAGTATTCAAATGACACATTTGAGCATATTTTCGCCCACATAAATCGCAGACATAAGGAAAGTCGCCTGTATGATAACGCGTGTGAATCTCAAGGCTTTTCTTCACCGGAAATATTTTACCACAAATCGTACACGGGAAGCCACTTTTAATATGTATTGCACGTATATGCACTTCTAAGGCTTGTTTGGTAGAATACATGCGACCACAAAACTCGCAACTGAACTTAGGCCGGTCTGCTTCATGCGAACGTTGATGTACAGTCATGCGTGAATAGTTTGGAAATGATTTCCGGCAATAGTAACATTCATATCTACCGATATGGCGTATACGTTTATTAAGAGATGAAGGAACTTGACTGTTTACCTCTCCTTTAGTTTCTGGACAATTGTGAATTTTTTTTTCAGGTTTATCGGACACCGCCAGCATCGCGGCCGAGTGATTTGCTACACTACTTGTTACTTTTAAAACCGGTTTCAGATCTCGACCTCTTGTTTTATCTAATTCATTGCCATTCTGTTCTTTTTGAATTGTTATATCCTCGACAATTTTAAAATGAGTGTCCAAGGTTACCGGAACATCATCGTAATCATTCGCTATTTCTGTTTTATCGTCTAAAAAATAACAAAATGACGTGAAAATTGATTAATCAACCATCCTCTTAGAGGATAAAAGAAAATAAAATTAATATACTTTCTGTGACCCCGCTTTTAACAATAAAATTGCAAACAGCAGGTTATCAATACCTTCATCTTCTAATTCTTCCAAGGATTGAAATTCTTCTGCCTCTAAATACTCTTCAAGTTCGTCATTTTCTGTTTCACACCGAACGAATGCTTCATCAATTGATTCAATTGGACCTTGATTTATTAATATTTCATCAATTTGTTGTATCATTTCATGTGGATGTTCTGGTGAAGTGGAGGTATTGGCCACAAACTTTGTATTATCTACACTTTTATGAGAAGTACCTTTGTTGAAATCTGCATTCGGCAAAAGCTGGGATCGTTGCTTATATTGTTGAAGTAGTCGTTTTGAAGCTTCAACTTTTGTGTAGAAATCGTAAGACAATTGTAGTTCAAGGGCGCAGGGCTTGCATAAGTTTTGAGGTAAATCATCATCGGCTGTTAAATCTATTTGGGTGCATATAAGGAAGCAATCCGCATAAGTCAGGTTTTCTTCTTTATTATATATTGCGTTTGTATCTAACACTTCCTCTGGCAATTCTAAGCAAACCCGACAATTACTTGTTGTTAGGTTGGATGCAGTAATTTGCATTTTTTTTCCTTTAGTTTCAAAGTTCAGTTCAGTTATTTTTTATTTTTCTGGTGTGAGGCCAGCAGGACTATACCTCCAGTAACAGCTTTACAATTTTGCTTTAAATAAATTCACAACCTTTACCTAGGTTTTTCACAGAAATGAATTTCTTGATGATATTTTTCTACAATTTTTGATTTTATTGACTTATTAGTTATTTTAATGTGTATGGGTGATCTCTATCAAAATGTAATATGGGCTGTTATATCGAAAATAAGTAAAAGTGAGGTTCACAACACAATTTAAGAAAAATTATCTTGATGTCGGTTATTTAATGATTACTTCCACTGTTTTGCCAGCCACAACTTCTTCTTCTTCCTGATATACCTTACTTTTCTTAATTACGACCGCGTAGTTGCGAACGTTTTCCGAAATTTTACAACTCTACGTTTTTTGCTAAAATTTTCTTTTTTTTCTTAATAAAATTATGCGAATAAAACAAACAAGCTAGTATGTGAAAATTATAGCAGCAATTCTTTGGCTAAATTAATAATAATAATATAATAGTAAATTTTTAAATTCACATGAAGTTATCAATGAAAAAGGGTGTGCTGGATAAATTTACGTAAATTGCAGAATCGTATGTCGCACATCATTGAATAAAACTATTAAATTCTGGAAAAATTTATTATGCTTAAGTAACATTTTAAAATTTTTACCGTTACTGCTGCAACTAACTCTTTATAAAATTTTTACATACAATTTTTAATTTAATACATGTGAAATAGTTAAAGGTTTTATTTAAATAAATGTTACAAAAAATTGAACAATCAACTTGATCGAAATTTACATATCAGAATAAAATAGTCACAATTGTAATGCACTTATTTCTTTCGACTCTTAATGGTATTTCCACTTCATTATTACTACAAACTTAAGAGCATTAACCCCTGGATACGTTCGATAATCTTCCTTAACCCTAATAAGATTGTCTATTTCGACATACGCAACGGAAAGGTTCGTCAAAGCTAATTCTTTGAGTAAGAAATGAGCACTATTTGTAGGATATTAGTGCTTTCCTCAACTTTGAAATTGGGAAATCGCTTGGGATTCGTTGCGATCAAAAATAAATTCCCTTTTAATGCAATTCTCAGGCTTAATGCATCGGGCAGATCAGAAACAAAGTATATTGTACGACCAAAAAAGTATATTGTACGACCAGAAAGTATATTGTACGACCAGGAAGTATATTGTACGACCAAAAAAATATATTGTACGGATAAAAACTGTTCCGGTAATAGTAATGAAAAGCCGCTAAATTATTTTGGAGACAAATGTGTAGAAGTTGCTGAACCTATTATTACGATACCACCACCACCTAGAATAACCAAATCCTCGATAGCTTCACGATTTGCTAACGAACCGGAAGGCTATGCTGAATGTTATCCTGGATTAGAAGAAATGAATGATGCCATTGATGATTCAGACGATGAAGTGGATTACACTAAAATGGATTTAGGCAATAAGAAAGGACCTATCGGGCGTTGGGATTTTGATACCCAAGAGGAATATTCCGATTCTATGAGTACTTAATGTTAGAGATGGTTTTGATTCCTCGCTAAAAGCCGTTAGCTGGTTTTTTCCCTTACATCGCCTATGAAAAAGTAATATGTGTGTGAAGAGAGAACAGAGTTGCTTTTAATTAAATAAGAAAAATGGTGAATAAAAAATCTCTCTCATCTGTTAAAGAAGTAGAAGAAGTAACAGAAAAGATGTCGTACTTTCTGTTAAATGAGAAGTGGTGGAAAAAAATCGTATATGCTTTATATAGTTCTGCTACAGCTGTTGTCTTAAGTTTGGTGATAGTCGCAATGAAAATACAGAGGTCAGGTACGCAAAAACAAAAAAAACAAAGAAAGAAATCCCAAGAAAGGGGAAGAGTAATTGTGAAATCAGAAGACGTGAAATTGAATTAAATATCCTGTGCGGAATGCAATCAAATCTACGTATGTTAACGTGTGAATATAGCTCAAGGGCGAGAGGACAACTTGAAAGATTGGAAGTGTTCTTTATGCGGAAAGATCTTAACTTCTGCATCTCGCCTTGTGAAGTCATTTAGAAAACAAACACGAATTGCGAACTAAAACAATGAATATTAAATTAGATATTACTTGCAGAGAATGTACTGGAGAGTTCGATTGTTTTAAAAATTACCATTCTGCGCAGGACCAACTTGATCTGTAAAATATTTGAGCAGCAAGGAGAAGATCTGTGATATATGTTTACGGCACTAAGATGATGACCTGTAAAATATATGGACACTGTGGTACGCTGGATTAGTGAGTACGTATAGTGAGTACGTATATTGTGTGCATTTAGTCCGCCAATTGAATATAATCGTCATATGGCTCTGCAGGCCAACCCAAGTGGATAGATATTCTGATAGGTCATTTGACGTACTACAAAAAGTTGAAATAAAATAAACTTTTCTCCTCCTTTACTATTCCCTGTAAAGGAAATTTATTACCTATTTTACTACCTATTACCAAACCTATTTTTACATTTAATATAGTCTTTAAATGAAAATGTCAACTTCAGATTGGACATTGGAAGATTTTGCACGAAGGTGGGTATTTAAAATGGCCCAAATTGGTCAGAGCAAAAGCGCGCAGTGGAGCCTAAATTGAATGCAAGTCAGGTTTTTCTAAGAAAAATTTTTAGATACTTGTACGTC